TTTGGACCACATTTATTCTCGATACTTCAGAAGGTTTTACGAGAGCAGGCGTTCAACGGATTAACGAATCAATAAGAACCTATTGTTGGGCTATTCTTGGTTCACAATCTCAAACAAGAACTGATATACTCGGAACAGGAACAGCTTTTGATGCGCAGAAACAATTTCTTGCAAACGTTGAGGATGCAATTAATAGTCCCGTAGATTTACCGAGTCAAATTAAAAGATATCAAAATACATTAAAATATGCCAGAAGTAAAGTTGATTATGTTTACGGAATTGGTTTGTACATGTCTCCTAGTAATATGGAATTAAGAATCGGAGAAATACAAAATTATAATAATAAAATTATAGTAGCAACTGATTATCAAAAGCTTGGATTGAATAATGATGTTAATATTCAACCAATTAAACCAATTCTACATACAGAAATTAAAGGAACGCCAACAAAGAAATCTTTACCAGAACCTAAAGAAATAGCTAAATCTTTAGTTAAAGTGTCAGATGGAATAGAAAAAAAAGAAAAAAATATATCAATAGAACACGAAGATAAAAAAACAGCATTAATCGTCGGTAGTATAGTAATAGGTATTATTACATTTTACTTTTTACGAATATAATTTTTTCGGGTTTAGGGGTGTGGGTTCGAGTCCCGCCGGGGATAAAAAATTTTTTTTTAGGTGTGATGGAGAAGAAAATCTTTTTAAAAAAGTAGGTTATAAAAAAGGGGGTATAACTGGAAATTATTTTTTTTTATTTTTTTAGGGTGGGGGAGAAGAAAATCTTTTTAAAAAAGTAGGTTATAAAAAAGTGGGTATAACTGGAAATTATTTTTTTTTATTTTTTTAGGGTGGTGCGCTAGACTCGCTAAGTTATCATACTACTATCGATGTTTAGGTGCATTTTGCACAAAATTAGCTATACAAAAGTGTGCAAATCACCAACGTTTATGTACAAAATAGAATATAAAAAAATGAAACCAAATATAATTTTTATTTTTCTGTTCATATAATAATGACTTGATGAAAACATGTTTAACTTAGATATATTATCTCATAGTCTTATTTATAAAATAATCATATCAATAAAGATACAGGAAAATGTTATTGTTAAGTAAGCCAAATTTGTATAATAAGCGGTGCAAACAAGATTTGAATCTACATACATTTGAAATATGGGGACTTGTAGTTAGGGATTGTATAGAACGTGTTCAAATATATGCATGTAAGAGATTTATGAATATTATCGTGTAATGCAGTTGTAATGGTAGATTGTGGAAGATACCCAATGTATATATACAATGTACGTGTGTATGCAACAAAAAGATGTATTAAATTTTGGATACGGATTTTATATATGGATGATGAGAGATATGTTAAAAAAGTTATTTTATGCTTAAACAGTTAGATGAACTAGGTTATAAAAATTGGGTGACAACTCTACGATTAAATCTCTATAAGAATGGTTTTGGCTATATTTTGGAACAACAAAAGCTTGAAAATGCAAAATTATTTCTTACTCTTTACGTAAATAGATTAAAAGATCAATACATGCAAAATTGGAACAGTGAGTGTTTAGAAAACAGAAAGCTAGTATTCTATAGAAATTTTAAATGTAATATTAATTTTGAAAAATATCTGGAGAAATATATATTGAAATTTAGGAGTAGTCTTGCTGCTTTTAGGTCCTCTTCTCATCAATTAATGATAGAGAAAGGAAGACATATTGATATTCCAAGGGAAATCCGTTTTTGTATACACTCTCGATGTGAAATTGAATGCGAATTTTTAAAATGTCCTTTATATGATACTTTATGTCAACAATTTATACCAAATAAGTATTTGGAACATCCAAATAATCATAAATTTAACTTATTTATGTCATGCAAAAGTGTTAAGACAATACGAAACTTATCAATGTTTTTATATTAATGCATTTAAACTGCGAAATGAATCTATATCTTAAATAATGTCTTTATGTTAGTTGCTAAATCTTATTACACAATTACATGTTTTGTGAAAATTGGCTAAAATGCTGTTCTGACAACATGTCATTGTACTTTATACAACTCTATGTAAACCCGTATATTATGTGATGCTATGTTATCCTAACTAGCTGCCATATCATTATGCTATTGTGTTTATATATTTATACATGTGTATGGGCCGGTGGCCTAAATACAAATTTGAAATAAACTCTTTATAATACCTTTATTTTAAATACTTTATACAAAAAATATTTTAATATGAAAAAATTATAATGTTTCATACTTTTATGTACTTTTTATTGGAACACCAAAACGTTATTTGGCGATGATCACGTATATGTTTTTTTTTTTACTGAATGATTTGACTATTTAATTATCTTTTAGGGTGTAAATCCTGGAGGGCCTTACGAAAAAGCATTACGAAAGGTAAAGATTAATTTCAATAAGTACAAGAGAAAAACGTTTTTATTTGCAAAACATATCTCAAGTTTTCACATGTCAATACGTTATGATGCTTCAAATTGATGTGTTGTAATGCATATAATTTACAAATTTAAGAAATAAGTTTATTACAAATGATATTTACCTATCCGTGTTTCCAAAGTAGATGCCTAACATGGCACACAATGTTTTTTTCGTATGTAATCGTAAAAATTGCGTGATACGTCTTTATTTCATCGAAAGAATAACTAATTATTAACAGTTTATTATTTGTAAAAATAACAAGTATAATGATGCGGTAAATATTCAAGTCTATAATTTATCACATTGGTCAGACACCTCTTAAGTAATATTCATCTAAATTTAGATGCAATAACAGTTTTATCTTTAATATGACCACCAAAGCATGCATCATACGGTCTTTTCCCCTGCTATAAATATTGCGGCTCTTAAATCAAAAGCCTTAATAAGCGGACGAAAAGACAGGAGTTGATTTCCGTGTATCTTTTTTATCGTGTAAATGATGATGATATGGCAAAACAAACCCCTATTTATTTCATCGATGTTTTCGACATGAAGACGACTGTTTGCATTAGTAATTAACAAATCATGCTTTTTTTGTTTTGATAAGGTCTTCTTAATATGCGATTTCTTAACATCAAGCATACAAATCAATATGTTAATTTATTTAAACTTTTTTTTATTTGTTATAAAAATATTTTTCTTTGATTCAATGAGTAAACATACTGAATTTCCCTTTATAAATGCACATGGCAAATATATAAAAGCAAATTAAGAACATAATTTATCGCAAATAACTTTACCAAATTCTATAATATGGCAGAAAATGAGGCAATGATTGCAACCTGAAATAAATGTTGCTTGCTGAGGTTTATTTTGTTACTCCTGGAAATGACATTAACGTACGAAAGTGGCAAAGTTTGTTTACATCTTAATAAACAGTTAATATATTTTGTTAAATAATTTCACATCTTTATCAAAAATTAGTTCTTAATTGTGTAACATTGTGATAAAACAGCAGCAGTGTTTGTGCTACTTTTATTTGTATAGTACATTGTTGTTTTCAAGGATTTTTTTTTCTTTTTTTAGGACTTCTACGTCAGCATCATATGTTTCGTTGTTTTTACTATAGCATATGCGATATTCGCCAGTGTATTTGTAAAGGACCAGTGGATGGAATGAGTTTACATTTATGCATTTCAAACCAAAAAGGAACTATTATGTTTTTTATGTTTTTGATATACCATGATACACATAATTTTCAATATAAATACTCGAGCAAAATGGAAAGTGAACAAAAGTATAACCAGAATTGATTGTTTTATGTATTGCTCAAACTAACTATATTACCCTTGCTCTTGATTCTTATGTGCCGTTCTTCTACACAATATAATTTTCTTTGTTATTGTTATTTAATTTAACTAAAATCTCTTAAATAGAAAGAAATTACTTAATTTATGAGCATTTTTGCCGCATCATTTTACAAATACCTGATCACACACAGCTTTGCTCTAATGTTCAATTGATTGCAATTAAATTGATGTACAAAATAAGCATATGCTTACTAAGGAATTATGTTCTCGGAATGAGTGAATAAGAGTCCATGATTGATAAAAACATTATAAAACATTATACGAATTGTTAACAAATAAAGTGGCATACACTATTTTGTATGCATTGGCATGTTTTTGAATTTCGTTCAAAAAGGAAAAAAAAAGCTTTTCCATTTAAAAACAATGTAACTTTCGTTGAAAATATCTAATACAAACTGTTACTTTAGGGGCTTATAATATATAAGTATATAGGTATATAATATTTGTATTTGTTAATTGATATCAAGTCTTGATTATATTTTATTTCAAAATCAGTTTATTTATTTTTTTTGATTTGTGCGATTGATGATGATTTTCCCTGCTTTCGTCAGAGTTAATTCACCGTGTCAGTGTATTTGTAACTGTATTTATATGTATATATTTCTGTTTGCGAAACTTTGCAGGTTCTTATGATTACTGTAATATACATACATCTTTTATAAATAATAGGAAAGATAGAAAAACGGAAAACATAACCTTTAAACCAATTACTTTATATAACAATTCAAAAGTTTTCTTTTTAAAAGGCGCGTAAGAATGTGGGTTTATTTCTTTCAAAAACTATCAGTATCAGTAGCTATATTTACCGTTTTTCTTAAATGATTTCACAGCATTTTGATGTACGGCCGACGTCAGATCTATCCGTAGAAGAATCATTGACAATTATTTATATTCATTCTTATTGCAAAGTTTGTTTACTTTTACGAAAAATGTCCCCTTTATCGTGTTATATACATGTGTATTTGTCTAGCTGCAAGTTTGTTTGTTTTCACATATTAATTGTGTTTAATAACAATAAATTTCATATAGATATGCAAGCGTTTTCTTTCTCTCTTTTTTGTTGTTGAATATTTTGTTATTATCAACAGTGATTTATTCATTTTCTGTTTCCATTCATGCGAAAAGTACAAATTTAAAACTCCAGTATTTGAATTTGAACTGTATATTGACCATACAAAATACCAGCTTGCATTCAAACTTATCAATGCATTCAAAAATAAAGTAAAAAATATAAAATAAGTATGATTAAACGGGTAAACGAACAAAAGTTAATATTTCCAATATTTCCAATGCACATTGTCGTATATGAACTTTAAAATCATTTAAATTAATTCAGTTATTTATCACAATTGAAAGAATAACCAAAAGAATGTAAAGTGTATGGATGCAGTGCGTGCTTAAAGAGGACCCATCCGCCTGTTAAGACACAAAAAGCAGCTTTCGCGAACACCAGTCGTGCCCTTAAAGATTTGAAGCATAAGGTGGTGATAATTTACCTCCTTGTAATTTACACAGAAATGAAGCCTTAGCTGAAAGAAAGTCACTTTACAGCAAACAATAAGCTTAATCAGTCTGTAACCAGTGTTAAAAATAAAGGAGTTGAGCTCCGAAAAAGGCTGTTTGTGGAAGAAATAGGCGCCTCCGTTCAAAAGGGCTCACACAATCCTAGTTGTCACTGTCACCCTCGGATTCAGGCTATACTACGACAGCTAACTTCATACAAACTAAGTCTTTCTAGCTTAAACGATACCCCGAGCTGTAGAAAGCATGCAAAGTTGCCGTACCGTGCATCCATCAAATAAGCAAATTTATTGAGATTTAACATAATTCTATTTGGTAAGATGATAAAGTTATCTTGTTGCACGACCTTCTTTATCTAGACATCAACACAAGAAGGCAATATCGGTAGTATTGTTACTAGAAATTTATCATGAATAATGCGAGGATAATCAAGTGCCAGGCCAATGTTATTACAGACAATAGTAATACACGTTAAACTGAAGTAATAACAATATTTTAAAGAGTGCGTAGCAAACCTGAAAATATTGATATTTCCTCACTTCGTTGTGTGAAATATTGCATTTTTACAAAAGAAAGAAAGAACGAAAGAAAGAAAAAACTTTTTTTTTGTTTCTTTTAAGGTATTACGACTTGAATGAGCACTATAAGGAACTAATAAAATGACATCATTGGTCAGATTTATACCTGAAAGTACACCTGTATGCAAAATTGAAACAAATTTTACTGTAAGGAAATCAAGTGCTGGCCACTGTTCTGAACTCAAGCTAGGATGTCATGAGGGCCCTTTTTATAAATGAGTAACCTTTAAAAAATCTGCAATAACATTCTAGATAATGAAAGAAGTTATATAGGTTGATCTTGTTAAATATGAAATACTTTTACCATCTAGTTTTGATTTTATTACACTTTGAAAATATCACGTTAATATTACTTATTACTAGATTTAGCATAATTTAGCCAATAAATACCTATATAAATTAAAATTGAACACTTTTTTCTTTCCAAATGGGTCATGAGAGATACATTAATAGCTTTTAAAGAAAAAAAAGAAAGAAAAAAAGTTGACCTTTCTGGAGATTGAACCCACGGCCCTCAATTTCAATGGAGTTAACAGTAGTTCTAGCCTATTTGAATACTCTTCAAAGCTGATGTAATGCATTAGGATGGTATTACCTTAGGTAAGATTAATATTTTCATTCAGACATGAAAAAAAGGTGCACGTACATAAATGACGTAACCTTCAACTGCAACGTGCACGGTGCACAAACAAAATAACAATCTCCCACGCACTGGTCTTCCCTTATCAGTACAGAGATCTCTGCCATCACAAACATTTTTATTTATAATTTGATATTCTATATCTTTTAAGCTCTTGAATATATTTTCATTATTTTGTATTATTTTTTTCTAAACTATGACGAACGTAGGTACGAACAGTTAAAATAAAACTCTAAGAGAAAAATGATGTTAGATTTTCTATGTAACGATTAGAATTTCGACGTTATGTCATGTGACTTTCATCATCATGTGATGTCTGCAAAGGCACTGATTACAATCTGCGAATGGAGGTTATCACTGTGAGGAGTTTGACAAAAACGGGCAATAAATGTATTTGAATACGCCGATAAGAACAAATAGCAAACAATACATTTTCATAAAATTTTTTATTTTTTTTTTGGAATAAGAACTAACACGTAGGCTGCAAGAAGGTCTGCAAAGCTATATGGAAATATATGCTTCATAGGTAAATCTAAATCATCTAGCGTGAAGCAAAAGTCATGTTTGAATTTTCAGCTCGATTAACGTAGGCTTACAGTTCTATTTCACAAGTTAATAAACATTTTGTATATTCCTGATCATCTTAGAATATCACCCCTTCTAACAAATAGCTCTTTCAGATTTTTGTTGACGCTTTCGTTGTCAATTGTGTCTAATTTTGATTATTATTCGGCAGTTTTCCTAAATATCGGCACTCATTAAATGTTTGTATTTGCCCCATCACATTTGCTAGGGCTCTTTCACATTGCCGTTGATAAATGATGGTTCGATCACATTTGAATAAATGTGAGTGCTTTATTTTCATTCAAACTCTTTGAACTAAATTTTTTGTTGCGCCAAAAGTGAGGTAGGCTTAATGTTACATGCAAAATTCTGTAGGTCAACATTCACTTTATAGTAAAGAAATCTCCTCGTGAAAGATAACACAAAATTTGATATGTGGTAAAAGTTCTATTATTATACTATTTTTTTATGGCATTTCGTACCTAAATTGCACCCTAAATGATGAACAAAATGTTCTTTGTGGCATAAAATTCTTTGATTAAGAAAAAAGCCTGTTTTTTATTCATATATTTTTAGAAACTATACATGTCTCATTTTAGTTTTAGTCGACGTGCTATACAGTAACAATAATAAGTTAAACATTAAATTGTGCAAAACTGTAACAGAAAACATTAAAAGCTAAGTGACAATATTAAACATATATTCTGAAAATAAAATCATACACATAAAGTATGCACAAATGCTGATTTGAACTCGAAAAGCCATGTTCATAACGTGCGATATCCTCATTACCTGAACTCTTTAACAAATACGCTACTCGGATTTACGGGTGTCTATATCCGCTTTTATTCTTCTATGTTGCCAAAAATGCAAATGTAATACATGTAATTGAAAACTTGCACAACCAATTATATTATAATGGTAGGACCGATAAATGTAAATTATACTTAGATTAACGAGGAGTAATTATATTTAGAAGAACAGTAAATTTAGTTATCATGCACATTTAACAACACTGCTATACAATACATTTCGTATTGCATGTACTTTCAGTTTTTAAAGAATGAAAGTTGTACGGTTTTGGTTTACCTATTACTAATAGGAAAAGTTAATTTTTTAATATAAAACCCACAGCGGTGAGGAGAAATTGGTTTGAAGTCAACGGCAAGGACGTTGGATAATTTAATGTAAGTAAGCTATCCAACGTCGGTGGTTCTACTCAGGTGCCCGTTCGTGCCTGAATTAATGCACGGAAGGGCATCTGAGGTCTTCCTCCACCAGTAAAGCTGGAACGTCGCCAAATGACTTATACTGTGTTGGTTTGACATAAAACCCAAACACACAAACAATATTTTTATTATCTTAACACTTTAATTGTGTGGGCGCTATTAGGCCTTCCATGAAAATATAAATAACAAAACAGAATATTTATTTAATCCATTACTACAACTTGCGCACGTATATGATACGAAATTAAAGGACAAACATATAAAAATATGATAATTGACAATCACGAAAATTAAGACTCAGCATTCAACATTTTTCATACGGTTTCTTCATATTCACATTTCCATCTCTCCACTGTCAATTTGAGATACACTAGCTGTATTTAAAAAAAACTGTTAATATGGCGATTGAACAGTAATTGATAATGATTAATATGTAGGATAAAATATGTAAAAAACTGCTGAAAAAGCCTGCCCCACTCTTCATAAATTGAACATTTCAGATAGATACCGAAGGGTCTCAGACATTTGTCAGAATAACATCAAATTGTAAAACTTATAATCAATGTATGTTTTTCGATTTATTAACATGTTAACTGCAAACGGATTATAAGTTCGTTCACAGCACGTGTACAATATCGAAATATATTTGACAGAATCTGTAGCATGCACAGACAACAAACGATGATATAAATTGAAATATCTCTTTACCTTTATTAAGATAAACAACGCAACACGGTGTTATTGCTCAAGACCGCTGTTTAGTCTATATTCGGTCTGTTTAACTGTATCTAAACACACAGCGTATTTTAAGTACATAATGTTTGTATTTAACAAATTCAAATAACATGCATGTTAATATATGTCTTGAAAGTAAAACGATACCTGAATGTATTAAATAATTATGATACTTCTTCCTTCCGTCCTTCCTTCTTTCCTTCCACCCTCCCTGCCTTCCTTCCTTC